CTGTGAAAGGCTCGTTCGACCCCCAAAGGGGTCGTGACCCACAGGTTGAGAACTGCTGCCCTAGACATACTCGCCCGGTCACTCACCAAGATGGGAGCTTCTCCCCGCAAACCCAAACCCACTGCCATTGGGTGGGTGCCGACTCACACGGACCCTGCAGGGTGGGTAGCACTGCCCCTGGGGGTATCCGAGACTGTGCAGGGATAGAAGCTCCCCGCAGAGCTCTGGGGGTCTCACACTGCTGACCTTGTGGTTTGCAGCCCAATGTGTAGCCACTACACCAGCAGGGCTCCTATGCTTCTCACCCAAACCCCAAACTCCCTGCATCGAGTCAACGCTGAGTCATAAGGACCCTAAGGGACAGGGGAGAGCTGCCCAGAGCTCCCGAGACTAACTCTTCATGGAGGAGAGACCCCCGTCCTGCTCCCCTGAAAGTCCCCAGGAAGCAGGGCCATGTCCACACAGTGTCACCTCATCCAGCTGAGGGCGCCTGGGGCGTGCCAGGGACGTTTGGCCTGTGGAAGTTGGGGGTTTCCTCCCACCCTGCCCACAAGTGGACACAGCGCCCCCTCCCCGATGCCCGGAGGACGCCCCTCACCAGAGATGATGGAGTCGTTGAGCACCTCCTCGTCCTGGTACAAGAGCAGGCCATCCGGCAGCTCGGCGTCCACCAGCAGGTTCTCCTTGTTCTCCTCTGACTCCCGGGCGGCCGTCCGCCTGCTCTCGGCCGACCCCTCGAAGCCCCAGGCCTCCTCCCGGTCCCGGTCCCGGTCCACACTGGCTGGCCGCGACGGCGGGGTGTCCACACGCTTCTTCAGAGACCCTCTGTTCTCCCTTCCCTGGAAACTGAACCGCAAGGCCCCCCAGTCGGTGTGTCTCCCCACAAAACCTGCACGCAGGCATGCCCCTCGACCAGACCATTAGGACCCGAGGGTGGAGGCCAGCGGCATGATGCAGGGGGCCTGGTGCAGGACTGAACATGCTGGCCCTTGGTCACCAGGGGGGGACCCTGTGTAGGGAAAACGGCTGCCAACTAAACACAGAAGGGAGGACACTCAGATCCACCCAGAGGCACCTTGGAAGAAAGACCTGGTGACCACTTTCCCGAAGCTTGTGGGGCGCGCAGGGCCATCAGGCAAGTGGCTCTGTGCTGTCTGGCACCGGTCTCTGGGCACTCGAGGCCTTACCTGTCCTGCCGGTGCTTGGTGGCCAGTGCCCTGTGCAGCTCCTCGATGACCCGGCTGGGGGGCAGCGGTCGGTGGACGGTGGTGAGGTGGGGGGACCCCGAGGGCTGGCCACGCAGAGCAGCGTCCGTGGTCTTCCCACTGGAGCCTTGAAAGAGTGCGGCCGGGCCTGGGGTAAGAGGAATCCACGGAAGGTGACTCCCCCCAAGGAGCTGTTCTGACAAACCCCACCTCCAGGGAACATGCACTTGGGCACAGTCAGCTGGCCCTGACCTGTCCCCGGCCCCAGAGGGCAGGCAACCAGGACAGGGGCTCTGGTGAGTTGGGAAGGGGGTGTGGAGGGTTGAAGAGTGGATCAGTGTGGGGTGGATGGGCTGGGGGGCAGAGGGGTGGGAGAGGGTGGGGGCGGAGGGGTAGGTGCTGCCAGGTATGAATGCTTCCCAAGAAACAGACAGGTGTCGCGTCCCTGTGTTAAAAGCACAGGTAACGTGGTCTGCAAAGTGCCCACCAAGGGCAGCCTGGAGTGGGCCTCTGCCATCTGGAGGGGGGGCAGGAGCGGGGAATGGAGAGACCCGGGCAGTGCACCCCATCCTGCCCCAAGCCAGGGGAGGGACCTGCCCTGCTCCTCTCCCACCTGGTGTCTGTATGCCGGAGCCAACCTGTCCTCCCATGGGGACTGGGAGAAGGACCCAGCAAAGGCAGGCGGCGGCTCAGGCCTGGGAGACGCAGACCATGTCCCAGAGACCACAGCCTCCTTTCCACGGCCAACTCTGCCCCACGTAACCGGAGCCCTGTCAGCACTGCCCACAGCCCCCAAGGAGGAAGCCAGAGGTGGGGCAGACCCCAGGCCCAGGGTTTAGGAGGTGCATAGTGGGACTGGACCCCCGTCTCAGTCCGCCACGGGACCCGGACAAACTGTGCACGTTTCTGGACTCCAGGTGTCCTCGCCTGTCAGTGGAAGGTCCAATTCTCATGGGCTTAGGGTCAGTGGCATGGTGGGAGGGGGCGCCCAGCACGGCTATTCGGGGTCACCTTCCATGTCCTTCAGAATCAGGTTGGGGCTTTCTACTCCCAAGAGAGGAACAGGAGACTCTGAGTCAGGGGGACTGGAGGACAGTGGGTCTGCTGTGTCATCAACGTCAGCACGCGGGCTTTCCTCTCTCACCAGAAGGGTCAGCTTTCCACCAGGGTCAGCGGTGACGGGACAAGATGTGCATGAGGACCAGCAGCAAACAAGCACTTTCTGTGCTCGTGTGGCCCGTAGGACCAGACCTACAGAGCTGGGGACCCTGCCCAGCACAGCGCCCCTCTGCCCGTGACCCTAAGTCTGGCTTCATCCGTGGCTCTCTTACTGGACAGAGCTCAGTGGAGAGAGAATCAACCAAGGAAGACCGGCAGAGACAGTGGGAAAGACTGAGGGAGAGAGACAAAGACGGTGATGGACAGACAGACAGCTGGATGCTCAGACGGGCCGGTACAAACAAGAGAGGAAATTCCCGTCCTTGGCCGGACTCTGTCTCCAGACAACAGACAGACACCTCCTTCACTTTCTGGAGGAGTGGAGTAGTCTGCTCGGATGATCAAAGCCCCTGACCCTGAGGGCTGCCTGCCCCCAAGTAACCGGTCCATAGTGGTCCCCAATTCAGGACGGATAGGAAAATGGGTGAGTGGATGGATGAACAGACTGACGGATGGGTAAATAGGTGGGTAGATGGGTGAGTGAATGAGTAGATGTGTGAGTGGATGGATGGGTACATGGTACATGCTTAGATGGATGAGTGGAGAGATGGATGGATAAGTTAGCAGGTGGGTAGGTGGATGGCAGTACGGGTACATGCTGTGTACATGGATGGATGAGGGGAGAGATGGATGGAGGAGGAGATGACAGGAGGATAAACAGGTGGGTGGATGGATGGATGGATGGATGGATGGATGGATGGATAGATGAGTTAGCAGGTTGGTGGATGGCAGTATGGGTACATGCTGTGTGCATGGATGGATGAGGGAGAGATGGATGGAGGAGATGACTGGAGAATAAACAAATGAGTGGGTGGGAGGATGGATGGATGGATGGATAAGTTAGCAGGTGGGTGGGTGGATGGCAGTACAGGTACATGCTGTGTGCATGGATGGATGAAGGGAGAGATGGATGGAGGAAATAACAGGAGGATAAACAGAGGAGTGGGTGGGAGGGAGGGTGGGTGGATGGATGGTCTGGTGGATGGAGGGATGGATGGTGAGTGGGGGATGGGGGGAGGAAGAACAGATGTGGACCCACCTGTGACATTTTTCACGAGTTTGGATCCGGCCTTGGGTGGTGGGGTGGGCACCAGTGGGGGGCTGGGAAGCTGCCCCCCTGATCTCTCCAGGGGTCTGTGAGGGCTCTCCAGGGAGTCCGCTAAGGCTTGAGAGGGCTCGTCTGAGGTGGACAAGAGGCTGCCGTCATCGGTTTCGTCGTCGTCGCTGGATGCTAACGGTGACCGGGCTAGGTAAAGGGCACACAGAACTCACAACGCAGTTCCTTCCGAGCATGGGGCGTGAAGGAGGGTCTCGGCCTGCTGGCTGGGTGGCACTGCTCATGCTGAGCAAGACAGAGGGTCGCCTCACACACACCCTGGACCGCCTGGGGCATCAGCAGCCAACACTCCCATCAAAACTGGGTGCAGGAAGGAAGGCCCACAAGTTTGGGCAACCTGTCACATTCACCCTCAGGAGCTTTGGGCCACAGCGCCACCTCAACCCCGCACCAAGGGGTGGTGAACACTGTCACACGGTCAGACATGCCAGCTCCCAAGCCAGCCGGCCACTCCCCTCTGACCTCGGGCTAGTCACCATGCCTCTCTGTGCCTCCATCCCTTTATGGATGGTATCAGATCAACAGGGATCACGGTGGGCTTGGAGCAAGATGGGGGCCCTCCATGGACTCCACCTATCCATTCTGCATGTCGCTGGCTCACTGAGAGCCAGGCAGTTATTGCTGGTGGGGCTGGGATGGGCAGGGGGTGGGGCTTGAGGAAGGGTCACCCTCAGAGGCCTGGCCCCCTCACTTGGTGCTGCCCAGCTAAGTGCCCACCACACTGCGCCCGGCCCCATCTGTACCCAGCTCAGACCCCAGCTCGCATCACCCTGCAGCACCAGCCACTCCCAGTGCCTCCTTCTCAGACGCCATTGGCTAACCCTCCACCCCTACTCCTGCTGAAGACACGTGACTTGGGAGACCCCCGCCACTCAGGAACAGCACCCCCCAGGCCCTTGGCTCTGCCCTCAAATGGATGGGAGGGAGGGAGGGAGGGAGGAAGGGATGGAAGGAGGAAGGGGTGGGTGGATGGATGGATGGCTCGGCACATAGATGAATGGATGGATAAGGTGGATGGATGAACAGATGGATAGACACATAGGTTAATGAACAGGTAAATTAGTACATAGATGGATGGAATACAGGCATAAGACAGATTGCTAAGTGAATAGGTATATTAGTACATAGATGGATAGACAGGTAAGAAGCAGGCTGGCTGGCTGGCTGGAAGGATACATAGACACCATAATGAGTAGATGGATGGGGAGGCAGACGGTTGGAGACATGCATGAATGGGTGGGTAGAGAGGTAGATGGACGGAAGGGTAGACAGGTGAGCAGACGGATGGTAGGTAGATGGGTGGGAGACAGATGAGTGGCTGGATAGGGAGATGGATAGAAAGTTACAGGGGGAGTGGATGGCTGTGTAGGTGGGTGGATAAAAGAGCACACAGGTGAGTGGACGGAGGGTACACAGATGAGTGATGGGTAGGTAGGTGGGCAGGTGGAGAAGTGGGGAGTCTGGATCGTATGCTTGCTGCAACCCTGCTTTCTATCCTCTGTGCCCTTCCTGCCTCCAGTGCCACATCTCCCACACACGCGCATGGCATCACCCCCAGCTTCACTGGGAAGCTCAGCCAAAGCCCCACGGCCCT